CTTTGGTGTCTCTAGAGCTGAGCTCAACTACACTCTGAATATCGTTGAGACTCTTGCCCAACTACCCCCATCCCCTGTTTTGAATGCTATGGCTGAGGCTGATCACCCTCTTACTCCTTCCAATCCACATTATCACCAAATGTGTTATGTCTGTCATTGTCTCAGGAACATCTGTGTCAACTGTGGACTTTATAAATGTCCCCTTTGTCATGCCACTTGCCCTGGGAATGCTCAAGCCCAATGCCTGTTGTTGCGCCCTTGTCATGCCTTACAAGAAAGAATCTCCACTCCAGGAGTGGTAGACAATCATACCCTCATTGGGAGTGAGGATGACAATTTATATGACAACAACTTTGACTTTGATGACTCTGCCATTAGCAATATGACCAGAGAACCTTACAGAGAGTAATTGAAGTCAGAGACTTCAAGACTAGAAAGGGGGTAATGTTACATTTCACCCCTGTTTCCTCTTTTCTTCTTGTGTTTACCTTGTGTTTGATCCATTGGACTGTCTTTCCTTTCTGAGCTGTCTTCTCATTGATCTGACAGCTCCCTATTTCCACCACTAGTGTTATCTTCTCATTACATGTGTAAAACACATGTTGCCATTGTCCAACCAATGGCATAACTACCTTGTTACATATGGATGCCTCATGGTCTGTCTCTTGTACAGTATTTAGTCTGTTGGCTCTAGTCTTGGAAACCCCAGATTTGAGCTACTCAATTATATGCAACATTCTCAGAACTTCACCCTCAGTGTCCCTAACCTGGACCACTCTTACTGGCATTGCCCCAAAATCCTCTGTTGTTTACAGAGGTTGCTGCAGCCATTGCTCAGTAGAAATCAATAGTCTGCATTTGAGCTCTCCCTATGTCTTGACTTCAGTTGAGCATAACACTTCGACACCTAACTCATGTCATCCTTTTCTGGATTTAATACTTCCCCATCTGGAAACACTGTCCATCTGTCATCCCATCTTTGATCCAGTGATGTCTCTACTGAGATCTGACATGCATTGCCATCCCCTAATGTGATACCAGTGCACTTACTCAGTTTCTGACATTGTTTGACTCATACTGTGATATTTTGACTGTCCTTGACTCATTTGTTGTCAATACTTACCAATCTTCTTTGCTTGCTTACTTTTCATTTCTTGCTTACTCATCATGATTACTCATTGCTTACAGTCCTTACTCATTACTTACCAAGTGTTTGTGCCTCATTTTTGTCATAGGCTGCACTCCCCCTACAGTATATCTGTACTTAGCTACAAAGAAATCAAGAAGCCAGACAGTTCAGAAGTAATCTTCTCAGAATTAACTTGTTGTCAACAGTTGAGGCTCAACAGAAGGGTCTATCTGTCATCACTCATAATCTGTGGTAGTTGAGGCTCCATTAAGGGTCTATCTACCACCATTCATTATCTGCAGCCTCATCCTTGCTTAGTCAGCATTCTTGATTAGTCATCCATTCACTCCTGTGCAACTTGACATCAACATCTGCCAGGAGTCCTTTCTGCTGAATACCTTTGCTCCATTCAGCATCCCTCACCTTCCCATTACTTGCTCATTCACTCCTGTGTAACTCATTGTTGACTTGTGCTAGGAGCACTTTCCATCAAAAAACCCCATATTAGATTTTTCTGCCCTCCAGGTTCCACAGAGGTACACCACCACTCACTCTTTATTTGTCTTTTGTGTTGGTTTTGGTTGGTTTTACCACCTTTCCACACTTTGACTCACACCATCAGTAATGTCATTTAATAGTGTCACAACATATGAATGGGCCCTTCAGCAGTATCATTTATATCATCACAACATCAGGAAATTAACACTTTACTATTTTTGACCTTTTTGTGACTTTTTTTGACTTTTTTGTGACTATTGCAACTATTTGTGACTTTTTGGCAAGGAACCTACTATCTGTACTTTTTTTTTGACCATATACAGCATTTTGAAGAATGAAAAGAGAACAGATTCTATTGAGACAACTAAGTGATGATATATCTAAGCCAAGGAGACTAGAAAATGTCTGAAAATTCAGAGATATTGAGCCATTGGTGTGATGCACACTGTCTGAGAGAAAAATCACAATATCTCTTTGAACCTCCATCAATTTGAATGTATGTGGTATCTACTGAAAGCTATGAATTAGGTGGTTTGAACAAGACAAAAATCAGCAAGAAAAGTGCAGCCATGCCTGCAGGATATGGGTAATGATAGTAGATTCCTTCCCAAAAAGTCACATTAGTCACAAAAAGTCAAAAATAGTAAAGTGTTATTTTCCTGATGAACATATGGATGGGCCCATCAGTAATATTGTTTAATAGTGTCATGACATAAGGATGGTCCCTTCAGTAGTATTATTTATATTGTTGCAACATATGGACAGTGTGAGTCAAAGTGTGGTTCAGTGGTGTAAACCAACCAAAACCAACACAAAAGACAATAAAAGCAAGTGGTGGTGTGCCTATGCAGTACCTAGAGGGTGGAAGGTCTTATTTGGGCAGGTTTTTGTGAGTTACAACACTCAAAGACAAGTGCTGAGGGTTGGGGGTGCTCCTGACAAAGAAGGAGCAGGAATGCAAGAGATTGTGATGGGGTAGACTGCTGTCAGCCTACAGAAGGATGGATGATGACTTAATTTGATGTCCTAAGCTATTCTGAGCTCAGGGAGGACTTGGAGCAAAGAATATTGATGATAGGTGATGATAAGTGAAGTAGATGATAGTTAGACTCTTAATAAAGCCTCAACTACCAAAGCTGATGAATGAATTACTGAGAGACAAGGAAATGCAAACAAGAGGGGTTATCTGATGTCTTATTCCTTGTCAGCTATCTAAGTACAGTGATATATATACAGTACATGGGTGTTTCCTATGGAAAACAAGGTGCAAACACTTGGTACATGATTTGTAGCTGATAAGTAAGGAATGTAAGCAGTGGGTAACCAACTTAGACAGCATTGGTGAGCACTGGGAAGGATAAATAAGCCAAAAAGGGAAGAATCAGTAAGCAAAGTCAAAAGATTGTTAAGTATTGGCAATAGGTGAGTCAAGGACAGTCAGAGTATCAAAAGTATGAGTCAAGCATTGTCAGAAACTGAGTAAGTGCACTGGAATCACATTAGGGGGAGGCTGTGCATATCACATCTCAAAGGGATTGCTTCTAGGCCAAAGTGGGATGACAGTCTCACTCAAATGTTCTATAATTTTGTTGGGCATTGCTAAACTTCTTTGACATGAAGCCTGCCAGTCAGCAGGTCTTCCACTCAGGCCCTTGTCCATGTAGTGCACCCACTCCATACAGTGATGCATTACAAATGAGCTATACTGGCTCCTCACATGAAATGTCCTATCTGGTCTCTAAAGATCAGTCATGTGACATTGAAATGTTGCAGGGGTGTTACAATCCCCCTGCTGGCTGACCTGACTTATAAAAGTCCTGCAAATCATTGAGAAGGCTGTCTTCCAGACATCTTCAGGTTCAATACATATGTGTTTGTATGCATTCAACATCAATCTTGGAGCAATACTTCACCCTTGCCACATCCATCCTGACCTGATCTTGTTCAGAAAAGGGAGTTACATCCCTTATCATCTTTTCATTTCTTTTGTGACAGTTGATGACTGTCACAGCAAGCATTTTAGGATTTTCTTTGCACAAACATGGGGAAAAAATTCTTTTAAAAGATACTCTATTTTATCACATGCTCTCTGCTTAAACAAGTGGAAATAATCTTATGTATTGAATGGCTTTTCTGACAGAAAACATGGCACAGTGGATTTCCAATGTTCTACTGGTGAAAAACAATTACTATGACCCACCACCAAAAACCAAAAACAATCATCAGAAAAAAATAGTACTGGTTTCTGCATGTTATGTAATGGATTAATCAAATGTTGCACCATGAAATAATTTAAACACACTGGTCATTAGAGAACATGTGATGCTACACAGAACATCACAAGTAAATGATAAATGATTTGTATGTGATAATACTAATAAACTTTAACCAAGTCTTTCAATGCTGACCCACAAAACATCAGATTATTGGCTCATTGTTTACTTCATAAACATGACATTTAAAACAATATTTGTTATGTGCAAAAACATGCTACTGAGATTCCATGTTAACATGCTAAATATTTTCAATCAAATCACACTTTTTTGTCTCCCAGAGAACATGATAAATAAAGAGTGTATTAAAGTGTCCTGTTGTACCACAGAACATGATAAGTGGCATCTGTAACCATCAATGGTATCACTGCTTGTCCTTGTCCTTGCTCAACCACCCCATCACATGCTGTCACATGATCTTATCTCATGGAATAAACCTCAGTCAGTCATGATATGTGCCACCTGACTTTTTATACTTGAGTATTCTGTGTCCTTTGTTGTTTTTTCTTGAAAAAACACATTGATGACACACATTATAATGTTCTGTGGTAGAACAGGATAGTCCAAAATCCATGGTTGCCCTGACTGACTAGAGAAAGAGTAGCCTCTGATAGCACCCCCACCAGTCATGAATGTCCCCAGTTCACTTTTGAAAGTGAAAGAGTACAAGGCAGTTCATGCAAGAAATGGGGAGTTCAGCACTGTATTTGCAGTAGGCAGCAGTCTGGACAATAACTGAACAGCTCAAAACCTTCACAACACCTCTACATATAACATGCTTACTTCACAGTTTATAATGCTCCATGGTAGAACAGGATATTGATATTTTATTACACTATTTATTTATCATGTTCTGTGGTACAGTTGTGGATAGAAAAACATGATGATTTTTATTCTGGATTCCCATGACTTTTGGGCAGAAACTAACAATTGATTCAGATGCTACAGGTGAAAATACATCAAAAAACAGTAGTTCAAATGTTATTAACCCTATATAAGGTAGGATTAAGAACCACTTCAATGAACATCATGGCTTTCTGTGAGACCTGATGGATGTCAGGACCCTTCTTGTATCCTGTGGGGCATCTGAGTGACTGCTTTCATTGGGCAGCACACTTTGCTTTTCTCAGAGGTAACCAAGTCTCACCAAGAGGGTCATCACCAGCACTAACAGCAAGGTTGACCAACTGAGCACAGAGATCAGCCTCACCAACACCCATGAGTTGGAATGTGGCAGCATCATGTTCAAGCTCATCCTCTGACTCACTCTCACTGGCTGTGAACTTCAAACTGTCAAGTACATTGGTGCATTTCCACTCCAGTTTTTCATCTTCTGCCTCAGGGCTGGGAGCATGAGACCATCTCCTCATGCATTTGCTTGTGTGCTGATCCTTGTCAGATTTGGGTGTATCAGGGAATGATACATTGCCTGTTTCAACAACAGCTGAGGTCTGGTTATGCAGACAAGCCATGTTGCATGTTACAATTGGTTTTCAAGGCAGCCACAGGGCATTCCAGTGTCTATGAGCAATTCACATGACCACAAACCTCAGACTTTCTCAATTTTTTCTGCTTGTCACTAGTGTGACAGCTGTACCCTGACATTGTGATCATACTGCACTAGGCTAATGCTACTTATTCCACTTTTTTTCCAGGATTTTTACAAACTCTTTTGGAGACTGGCCACATTTTTGGGTCAAAATTTTGAAAACTTAGTATAACAAAAATTGGCTCATGCAGATTGCATTGTTATGTCCTAGATATGCCTAGTACACATTTTTGTCTGTCCACAACTGTCAAATGAGATATTTTGTGCATGACAGACCCACCATGGTCCTCATCAGAAGAACTGGATGAGTCATTTTATCAGTGATACATTGTACTTTTGTATGCATTTCATCTTTTATTTTAGGATATAATTGTAGGATCTGTAGATAGACCTCAGTATGCTGACAAGCTACTGAGGGACTAAGTGCACAGCACAGCAAGCAGCAAGAGGCCTGATGATGCAGCTAGGGCAGAGATGCTGAAAGATTGGAAAAACAAGTCAAGCACACTAGAAGGGAGTGGTCAGCTTGTCACCTATGAAACAATGTCAAAGAGAGACAAACTTGGATCTGTGCACAAGGCAGTCATGCCCACAAATGAACCTAAATGGCTCAGAACCTTCACAACACCTCTACATATAACATGCCTACTTCACAGTTGTTCTGTGGTAGAACAGGCTATTTTAATACATTATTTATTTATCATGTTTTCTGGGAGATAAGATACTGTAATTTGACCTAGAACATTTGGCATGCTCTCAGTACCATGTTCTTGTACATAAAAATTGTAGTTTAGCATGTTATGTTTTTAGAGAAAACATTGAACTGCTGTTCTTTTTTTTTTTCAGGTGAATATTGAAAGACTTGGCCAAATGTTTTTATTATTGTTGCATACAAAACATATATCATTTAATTTTGATGTTCTATGTAACATTACATGTTCTTCAATGATCAGTGTGTTTAAATTATTTTGTGGTAAAGTATTTGATTAATGTATTGCATAGCATGTAGAAAACAGTACTAATGATTTTTTTGATGATTGTTTTTGGTTTTTGGTGGTGGGTCATGGTAATTGTTTTTCACCAATAAAACATTGGAAATCCGCTGTGTCATGTTTTCTGTCAGAAAAACTGTTCAAAATTCAACATTATTGCCACTTGTTTCAGCAGAGAACATGAGATAAAACAAAGTATCTTTCAAAGATTTCTTCCCCTATGCTTGTACAAAGAAAATTGTAAAATGCTTGCTGTGTGTTCACAGTTTACCATTCTTCATTGGTATGCACAACATAGGTGCAGCTTGTGGGATGCTTTTTAGTACCCACCACTCTGCATCTCTATATTTATATTGGCAGATTTTATCTGATAACTGTTGCTTCAGCACATCAGTGCAGCAAGGCAAGTGGTACAAGTACCACTTGTTCTTGTTGATCAGGGGAATCTGGTGGTTTATCTCCCATAAGGGAGGTAACTTTGGCTCAACACCTTCAAACCTTCTTCTAAACTTTTCAAACCACCACTCCCTGAGGAGAGGTATTTCCTTATCCTCTAATGCTCTTTTTTGTATTGGTTTTATCACCACAAGCATGGGCTCACTCTTTGACTCTATTCCTGGTTTCCCTCTCCCCTGCAAGCCCTCATGAGGTTGTGAAAGCCTTGCAGGGCATGCTAGTCATTTGGCAGAGGAGGAAGACACCTTGGGGGGATGCAATCATCCCTCTGTAGCAACCTCAGGCTCTGTGAGCATGAGTATTTTCTCTGCAGTGATGGTCATCAACTTTTCAGTGAAGTCGAGTACCACCTGATGCCATCTAAGGGAAGGGATTCCTAATATGCAGTTGTAGCAATCAATATTGGCTACATCAAAGTAAAATTCAGTTTCATGGTGACCAATCTTGATCATGGAGTCCTCCATGCATGATCTTCAACCAGCTGCCAATGCAGCCTAACTGCTGCATAAGCTGCTGATTGAGTGTGAAAACTTTCATCTTTGTGACTTTGGTGAAAGCCAGGCTCATGAAGTTTCCAGTGCTCCTGGTGTCAATCATTGTGTAGGCTTTGTAGCCATTTATAATGGTATTCACTGTCATGCACATGTGCATTTCTGGTGTTACTTGTGGGTGATTCCCCAGCTCTGGCTTAGTATGCATTGCATATTGAAGGGCACATGTGATTGGCTTTGTTATAGGCTGCAAATCCATCACAGCCATGTGCAGGTCTTCCTGAACTTGAACTCATTCAATGATCATGTCACCATGTGGTGTCTCTACCACTGTCTTGTCAGGGTATACCCTGATTCTGTTGTTATTAGGATTGGGGTGACTTATGTGATGTTCAGTCACACATAGTTGGTCATACAACTCCACAGGAATAATATTCCTGTCTTGCATGGCCATTCATAGGTGTTGGATGTCACACAATGCCTGTACCCATTGGACCTTGAGGGACCTTATGTGATTTGCCATCACATGTATTGCACAATGAGTGTGCTCAATGATGTGAGTTGGGCAAGGAACTGCAGTGAAACTGCTAGAGAGGGTTCTCCCTTGCCCATGGCTTCATCAACATGGTCCATATGTAATTGACACCCAGGGCATTGCTCTGTGTGAGCTGCCCCATAGATGGGTGACTAGTCCCATCTCCCACATGTAGGTGATCCTTCTATCATTTCAAGCCAACTGGCTAACTCAGGGTCCAAATCCATATTGTCCTCACTTATTCTAAGTGAGGCATTGCAGACTTCCCTGTCATCTTCCTTGGGACTGGACAAATGCTCCACAGTCCCATCCCTGTTTACCCACACCATTCCCCATGGTGTTTCAATTACCACTGCATCTGGGTACATACAGACATTGGGTGATATAATTCCTTGCAGCTGCAGGCCATCCAGGCACTTAGATCTGGTGTTTCCATCAGGGCATGTCTACCATCATCTCTACCTCTTTCATGTTCTCATCACACATGTTCCTTGGCATTCACAAGGACCCTTATTAGGGATGCATTTCTGCTCAGTAGCCCTTCAGCTACATGACTGACACAGTGACTGCATTCATCACATGCAAACTCATGTATGGCTCCATACAGGTCTGACTGATCCCATCATTCAGATTCAAGCATTGTGCCTGAGTGATGCCATCACTTGAGGTATTCACCTCAGAGCTACCCTCCAACTCTGGAGGGTTATCCTCTACCATGGGAGCATTGTCTTCTGAGGGTAACCCCTCCTCTTGATCATGCACACATATGAACATGCAATAGACAACCTCTTACTTCTAAGGGTTCATCTTCAGGGTGCATTGCACCAAAGTAGGCTACTGGCTTGTCCTCCTTGTCCTCCTTGGAGTACATCTCAAAGGTGTTGGGCTTGCCTTCCTCACAGGCATTCTTGCACTCTGCATCTTCTTGGACATTAACTACAAACAGTTGTGGCCTTTCTGCACTCTTGCCTTTGTCCTTCCAAGGAAGGGGGCACTTCAGGGCTACATGGCCCTCCTTATTGCAATTGAAGCAGGTAATACCCATCAGGTATTTTTGGGGCTGCTTTCCCTCATCATGTGAGCAATCCTGCTATTGATGATAAGGTCAATGGTCTGAGCCATCCTTTTTCATGAATCTGTCACCCCTTGATGGGAGATTCATCTTCTTTTGATAAAGGGTGTCCCCTTTCTTTTTGTATTTAAATCCTTCATTAGTTGAAGAGTGATGATCACTCTTCCTTCCATGTGGGTACAAGCCACTTCATCCCTGGGAGGTTCTCCCTCTGGAGCTGGCATGGCTTGTCCTCATATTCATGGTGATGGCCTTCTGTTCCATTTCCATGTGATGTACTTCTTTGAGGATTTCCTCAACTGTTGAGTGCTTGGCAGAAATTCTGCAGGCCTTGAATGCACTCTTTTTTATCACATGTGACAATCCCCACAAGAACTTCCTCCTGAATGAGTAATTGTCCAGAGGTTGCACCATCTGGTGCTTGTGATGGTTTAGGTCATTATAGAATACAAGGGCTCCCTTTCCATGTTTGTACCTAGCATGATCAAACTGATTGGCTGCATTCTGCACCAATGCTTCATGGACAAATCTCTTGAATAGTCCATAAATCAGGTCTTTGAAAGACCAATCCTGAATCTGATGATTTGGGGATTGACATTGACCTCTTGGTCATACCATTGGGAGGCTAACCCCTCCAAGCATGCATGTATAGCACCCTGTCTGCATTGTGGTCTGGGCCTGTCACTTTGAACATATGGAAGTACTTGAGTAGCTGGCCCAGCCAGTTATCAAACTCTTTGAGGTCATCCTGATTCCATACATATGGTGAATGATGTCTGAGCTTCACCCAGACAGGTGCACTGGTCAGTTTGGCATGCTGGGGGCAAGACCAGTCATAAGGCTTCCACCTCTGCCTGGGGCACTATAGCTTCACCCTGTGAGTAGTCACCCTGGGGTTAGGTACCCCTGTGTTTAATGATGTTCTCATTTGTCTGAGTATATTTCTCTTGAGGCAGATCTATCCTGCAGAATGGGAGGTGTTATGCCTGAGCAGAGTGACTTCATCAAATGGACTAGGCATGATGTGTGTGAGGGGAATTCTCTGGGCTGAACTTGTCATAACCTCTATGGCTCAGTTACTGCAAAGGTCCAAAAGAGGTTTGCTCCTTCTGGTGAGTTCTTCTGAGATCACATGGAGGAGGGAATGAGGATGAAAGCAGATGGATAAAGCTGAGTTTCAAGAAATCAAAAAACTGAGGATACAGGACAAAGTACTCAAGATTATATACCAGTAAACAATGAGTACTGTACCAGTCACAACAGACATGTCACAATGCATATCCACAGTAATCAACAAAGCAATCAGACAAATAAATAAGTCAAAGGGAGTCATATGGTGTCATATGATGGGGATAGGCAAGGGAATGAAGGCTATACTGGCTGTGCAATCAATGCACAGTGAGGAGCCTGACACTGGAGCATGGGAGTAACATATAAGTAACATATACAAGTCAGAAAGGGGGAACATAATGTGTCATCCATCAGAGGGCAGTGGAACACTGGATCTTCCTGGGAATAATGCTTGATGGGGACCAGTAAGTCTTCAACAGCTGGAGATCCAAGTTCACTGTGTAGCATACAAACCCCTAGGACAGCGATGATTATGAGGGATGCAATGAGGCATGTGATGCACATGACCACAAGAAGTCGAAAAAGGAAATACCCCTGATGTGGGCATAACATCACCTCCCCTCTAAGGTCCTCAGACCCTTGAGGACAAGCCAGGCATGTTAGTGGGGTGCGAGGAAAGGGGTCAGCAAGTAGTATAGATGTGGGAGCGAGTGCAACTAGCAATGGGCAATGATGGCAATGGAGATGGCAGTTCCTCGAGTGCCAGAGTAAAATGGGAGCCATGTCCATTGCAACATGACCAATGGCCCAGGTAATGACACTGGAAACAGGCATGTTCAAAGAAAGGGTGTCCAGATGGGACAGGGGTCTGCCCTCCGAGGTAAAACTGAAGTTGATCAAGAGGGACAGGGATGAAGGGAGCTGCAGGGAGAGGGTTGGTGGTGTGGATGGTGTTGTGGTAGTGCTTGTGCATTCCAGCCCAAGCAACATCCTGGAGCAAAACCTCCCAAGTGGAGTTGTGAATCCCAGTACCCAACCATTGACCAACCTCCTTATACAAGGCCCCTCTGTCAACATATGTGAGTTCTAGGGCACACCACTCATCAGTCTTCTTCTGATCCATGACCTCTTCCTTTGAAGCTGATGGTTCCTCTCACTTCAGATGGATGCGATCAAGAAGGCAAGAACTGGGCAGGGCAAGGAACTTGCCAATCTGTTGTTGAAGGAGATGGTGATAAGCCCCACCAGTGATGGCTTCTAAAAGCTCTGAAGACCTGCACTCCAACATGTTGATCATTATTACTTCTGACAAGGGGGTGGTGCCACCAAGTTTCTGGGTGTGAATCTTGGAGACAATGCAATTGATCACATCTGTCACTCTGTAGATCTCAGACAGCATCCCAAAATACCTAACTTGTTCTGGTGTGCACCTGTCAATGTGGTCCCCATTGTGGAAGAGGTCAAGTGACCTAACAACATCCAGGTAATCAGTTGCTGAGACTGGTAGTCTTGGCTTGTCATCCCAGGCAAGGGCTGCGGTGGCAAGGAGGTCAAGGGCTGCACAGTGTGAGCCATCAGAGTAGGTGGAGAAGGTGGTGTGTAAGTTGGCAGGTTCAGGAGCATTGGGGTGACTGCCTGCAGCTGGCTGCTTATTGGAGTCACCATCAGCTCACACCTTTCCCTTTCCCTTTCCTTGCTGGTTACTGTCCCTGCTGGTGGAGACTCTGGCCTTGGGGATGGGAACCCTCTTGACTGAAAAGGATGCATATGGATGCAGTCTGAGAGGACAGGTGAGAGGGGGCAAAGTTGCATGAAGCTGCAAGACAGGGGACGAAGGGTAGGTGTCAAAAAGGCCAGAGGTGGTCATTGGAGGTGAGGTTGGGGCATAGATGGTGATGGGAGGGATGAAAAGGTCATCCCTGTCGGCTGCAGGGTCATAAAGGGATTCTGCAGCAGGGAGGTCAGTGTAGTCATTCTCAGTGTTAACAGAGTGAGGGGAGTCCATTTAGTTTCAAAGGTGGTGAGTGAGTTTGTACTGGTTGAGGGCCTCTGAAGCATGGTCCTTTATATGTTCTTTGGGTTCCCAGGTATTTGACAAATGCAGGAACCCTTTCCATTTGACCAGATATTTTTGCTTACCTCACTGCCCTTTGACCTTGTGATTAATTATTGACTTGACCTCCCATTCAGTCTCATCATCAACCAGTTCCAGCAGCAGTGCTGTGGGCACAGCTCCATAAGTGTTGTTTTCAGTAAACAGGAAGATGTGAGAGGCATGAAACACCAGATGAACCTTCCAGGTGGGTGGGAGTTCCAATCGGAAAGCCACTGGGGACACGATCTGAGTCACCTTAAATGGCCTGAGATGTCTGGGCACAATCTTTTTGCACTGGTTTTTGATATGAAGATGGCTGGTGTCCAGGAGAACATGATCCCCAACCTTGGGCAGCACATAAGACCCTTTTGAGCATGAGTGCATCAAATCTTGTGCCTTTTTGTGTGTGAGGATGGCAACATCTTGGTTCAAGGCCAACCTTTCCAACTGTTTGTCAACTGAGGGTACTGTGGTAAGGCATTTTTCAGGGTAGGGAGATGGGTCATATCCCAGGAGTAGCAAAAAAGGGGTCATCTGATGGACAGAGTGGACTCAGGAATTGTGTGCAAACTCAGTGGATGGTGGTTTAGTGGCCCAAGAGTTCAGTGCTTCAGCACAATACAACTGAAGATATCCCTCCACTTCTTGGTTGACATGTTCACTCTCTCCATTAGTTTGTGGGTGGTACCCTGTTGAGAGTTTAGGGGTAACCCCTATCGCCTTATAGAGCTCCTTCATAAAGGAAGAAGTGAACTGTGGTCCCCAATCTGAGATTACTGATTCAGGAATGCCAAAACAGGAATAAATGAAACAATGGAAGAGTCGGGTGACCCTGATGGAGTCAATTGTTTTATGACATGGAACAAACAGGGCAGCCTTTGTAAGACCCTGATCAACAACTGTGAGAATTGAGTCATATTTTCATTCTCCTGAGACAGGGAGATCCATAACAAGATCCATGGATATTTGTCAGAATGGGAAGGCTGTTTTTGGGGTTTTGTTCAGAACAATGGGCAGTGTAGGTGGGTGAGTCATGACCTTTGTGGTTTGACACAGGTGGCAACCTGAGACATAAGCCTTGCTGTCCTTTCCCATACCTTCCCACCAGACTTCCTTTCGCATTTTTGCAAGCATTGCTTTCTGTCCAGGGTGACCTGCTGACTCATGGTCATGATACAAATGCATGCAATGGCAGTGGTCCTTGGGTGGGATGTAAAGCCTTGTCATTCCAAATATTTTAGTTCCATCCTTGTCAACAGTTACATTATCTTTCAGTTCAGGGCCTGTAGAGTCCTTTGGCATGTGGTTCTTGACCTGTTCATACAGGTCTGTGGATATCACATAGATTCCTGGTGCTCCTTTGTTGTGGTTCCTCAAAGGGCAAGTGGCAGGCAGCCTATTCTCTTTTGGTTTTTCCTCAGATGGGTGAGAATATGGCTTTGGGGTCAATTTGCTATGTGACAGTCATGCCAGAAGATGTCCAACATGAGTGAGACAGTTGATTTTTGACTGTTTTTGTATTTTTGTAAGTGAAAAAGTCAGTGAAACAAGGTGAATTTGGGAATCCACCCCCTCCAGAAGCCAAAGCTCTGTCAGAAGGATTGTGGCCACAGGGGTGGGCTCCTCAAGCATCCCCTTATGGGACAAAGTGTCAGCAGGTACCTGCAGGTGACTGGCCTGCCAGGAAAAACAAATAGGGTAGGACTGGATAGTAGCAGCCCACTGAGCCTGCTGCAGAGTGAGTTGCTGTGGCTCTTGGTAATACTCTAGGTTTTTATGATCAGTGAACACGACAGTGGGTTTGACT